AGGTTAAGGAGTCATAGATTCATGGGGGACATGCATTGGTTTTCTTACAGAAAGGTAGCTGTAAAATGTACCACTCACAGAAAACCAAGTTTGTTGCCTCACACCAGGTTTATCTTTAACAATTGCTCCTATGGAAGAGAGTATGCTAATTGGAGAGTTTAATGATGATTTCTTATAAACAAAGACAGCCAAATTCATATAGCTTATGGGTCAGGCCTGGAGAAATACTTGTTTTAAATACACATCTTGACTCATCCTATATGTCAGTTGTTAAAAAAAAAAAAACTTTAACAGCAAACCATCGGGTGTCTGACCATTATAAAATTTAGGTACAGATCTGGTTTACACATGATTCTTTCAGAATGGAGGGGAGACAGAATGTATGAAGAACATTGTTTTTATTGTCCACTTATTAGGGAACTACTTGGTTTTCCAATATCCTCTTAATTGGCTTTAAGCCCAGCTTCATCTGAAAACTGATCTTTGTCACCTTCTGTTTTACACACTATACTTCACAAGATTCAAGGACATAGCCACTTGTACAAAAGGATACAAGGATCAATGAGCCTTATGAGTACTGAAAGTCAAGAGCAGGGAATAGAGGTAGTCCTGAGTGGACAGATATATGTTGAATGTCCTAAAGGGCCGACAAGGTGCCTCAAAACACTTGTATTCAACATAGATTGTCTTCACTTTTTAAAAAAATAGTGACAAAATATATAGAACATAAAAATTACCATTTTAACCATTTTAAAATGTAAATTCAGTGTCATTAAGTCATTTGCATTGTTGTGCAACCATCACCATTATCTTTCTCCCGAACTTTTTAATCATCACAAACCGAAATTCTGTGCATATTAAACAATAACTTTCCATTACCTATTCTAGGTAATCATATAAGTGAAAACAGACTGTTTATCATTTTTTGTCTGGCTTATTAGCAAAACGTTTTCAAGGTTCATCCATGTATCATGTACTGAAATTTCACTTTAAAAAAAATTGAATAATATTCCTCTCTTTACTTCTTGATAGTTTTATAAATTTTTATAAAAGTTTCTTTATAAAGTGTTTCTATGTTCACAGAAAGAACTTTTCTCTTTGTTCTAGTCAGAGCCGTCATTTACTGAACAGATGGCAGAGTTCAGTACAGAATTGTGTGTACCTATGTATGTATATCTAGTGAGTAGGCAACTACAAATCAGACTCTGTCTGCATGGAGTGAAGGCATAGTAGAAGGGTACCTTGACTGACAAGGCCCAGAAACACGTAATGGGTCTGATGGAAAGTAAGCCCCCAGAAGGCTGGAAATGGCCTTCTCTGGCCCCGTTCCTCTCCTGCTCCCTAAATATAGATGTTCCACCAAGGCCTTGTCTTGTACTTGTTTCTCTGCTCCTGAGATCTTATGTGCTCTTTGGGCTTCAATTTTCAACTCCAGGTTAAAGACCTGACTCTTTCTCCAGCTCAGGATTCCCTGTTTAGCTATAAGACTAACATCTCTAACAGCCCATCTTAATTTCATCTGTTCAAATTTTAACTCATTCTCCTTCATTCCCAATTTTTCTAAGAGGATTATCATTCTTCCAACCATTCATGTGTGAAATTTCAGGACATTTTATATTTATCATATTAATTTTCTATTGTCATACTTAATTTCATTACTCTAGGTCAATCTGGTTCCCTATGTGTGATCCAAACTGCACTACAGCTATTTAACACTTTCAAAAAGTACTTTCTGTGATGACGATAATATTCTATATTGGCATTGTTCAATATGGTAGCCACTATCCACCTATGACTACTGAGCACCTGAGATGTGGCTGATAAATTGAATTTTTAATGTTATTTAATTGCAATTTGAAGAGTCATATGTATGCTGGTGGCTATTGTGTTGAATAGCACAGTTCTAAATGATCTTACTGTCACCTCTGGCCTCTCCCAGCTCTGCACAAGAGAGTACACTGTTGCCAGAGTAAATGCCCTAAAACATCTCTTAAAATCTCTCCATGGGGCTTCATGGCTCACAGGATGAAGAACAAACTCCACAGGAAGGAATTATACAATTTGTTTTTGAACTACTTTTATCTTATTTTATTTCTCTCTCTCTCTCTCTCTTTTTTTTTTTTTTTTGAGTTGGAGTCACTGCATCTCCCAGGCTGGAGTGCAGTGGCATGCTCACGGCCACCCCAGCGTCCACTCGCTGGGCTCCGGTAATCCTTCTGCCTCGGCCTTCCAAGTAGCAGGCATGCGCTACCAGCCTGGCTATTGAACTACTTTTCTAACCAACTTTAATTTTGAGGACATGCTTACTGCCTTCAGTCTAACCAACTTGCCATTAATTAGACAGACTCTGCAGTTTCTTTCCTTTAAGTTCATGCCACTTCCTTGACCCTTTCCCTGCTTACCTCTGCTTGCAAGAATCCTGTTGGTCCTGTAGGATATACCTCAAATACGTGTCCTCCCCAAAGTCTTTCCTGATTCCATCCCAGCCCCGAGGTGATGGTGAGCTCTTCCCTACTTTGTTCCCAGAGTCTTTTATTTGCATCTTATATAACACACCAAAATTTGTGTTGCAATAAAGGTATTTGTTTACATGCCCCAGTTCTCCTATGTAATACAATTAAGCCACTGTCTTGTTAATATACAGTGGCAAGGTTGCTTATTCACAGTCTGGCATATAGAAAGCTCTCAATTAGTATATTTACTGAGCATAACATCAAACTTATCTCATATGAAAAAACATATTTAGAGCAATCATTATATTTAAATTCTAGGACAAACAATATAGGAAAAAAATCTGGCTCACAATACCACAAAGAAGTATTTACCTTTAAATTAATAGTTTATGCCAGAATAGGTTACTATATCTATGTCTACTGTATCTATAGCTCCATCTTATTTTTAGAATAATCTATTTGTGAAGACAGCAGTTAGCTAAACTAATAGAACTCTGGAATTATGTAGAGTGTAGAGCAGAAAGCGAGTGTTTATCGACTCTGGGGACCAGGGTAAACCTGTCAACACTCTTAACAAAGGCCCAGTCCATGACAAATCATCTTCAAAACACCCTAGCCTTTCATAACAAACTTCTTTTTCTGCAGCAAAAAGATGGAGTGTCAGTAATATGGGAACCAGTCTTGGTGAGAGGCTGTTTCCCACTTTGAGAATGAAAGTAGTCTTTAATTTTGGATATTAACCCCTTATCAGATATATGGCTTGCAAATATTTTCTCTCATTTTGTTGATTGCATTTTCATTTTGTTGACTATTTCCTTTGCTGTGCAGAATCTTTTTAGTTTTATGTAATTCTATTTGTTTATTTCTGTATTTTTAGTGTCAAATCCAAAACATAATTGCTCAGACCAATGTCAAGGAGCTTTTTCCTTATGTTTTCTTATGGAAGTTTTATGGTTTCAAGACTTACATTTAAATCTTTAATCCCTTCCATGTTAATTTTAGGTGTGGCATAAGATTAGAGTTCAGTTTTATTTTGTATGTGGATATCCAGTTTTTCAACACCATTTGTTGAAAAGCTTATCCTTTCCTCATTGTTTTATTCTTGGCACCATTGTCAAAGGTTAGTTGACCATATATGTGAGTATTGCTAGGCTCTCTTCTGTTCCATTGGTCTATGTGTCTGTTTTTATGCCAGTGCTATAATTTTTTGATTACTATAGCTTTGTGATATAGTTTTAAATCAGGAAGCGGGCTACCTTCAGCTTTGTTCTTCTTTCTCAAGATTGTTTTGGATATTTGGAGTCTTTTGTGGTTCCATATGAATTTTAACATTGTTTTCTCTATTTCTGTGAAAAAAATACATGAGGAACTCATACAACTCAATAGCTAAAAAGCAAATAACCAAATTTAAAAATAGGAAAAGGACATGAATAGACATTTTTTCCAAACAAGACATCCAAATGGCCAACAGGTATATAAAAAGGTACTAAATATCACTAATCATCATGAAAATGCAAATCAAAATCTCAATGAGATATTACCTCATACTTGTTAGGATGACATTGGTCACTTCTCAGTCCCAGTAAAGCTCAGCTTAACCCTGGGACAACAGTTTAACAGCCCAGCACGTCCTACTTGGTCTCACCTCTCCTTCCAATACAGTCAACACAATATCATTGCATTTGGCTCACATGTTGACTTCCATTGTAAATTTAAATAGACATCTTCTATTTTTGATCCATATCTCATATTCCTTATAATTTGACTCCCAATTTTGAAAGGGGAAGTTTTTAGTGATACTACCTCTTCCTCTATTTCTCTGTTCCATCTTCCAAAGTCTGTCACCTTCATACTGTCACTTTCATATTGCCAAGATTGATAATATTCAGACTTTTTTCTACAATCATAATTAATCCTTCTATTTTTTGTCTGTAGGCTGACTCCAAAAAGTTGAAAATCAATAAACAGAATTCATCTTATTGTATCTAGCTAAGTATGTTTGCCTTCAGCTAACTAGCATGCTGTAATTACGTTTCCTTCTCTGCACTTCCATTGTTCAGATACCTGTTCTTTACAAAGGAGAATATTCAAAGGAATTTTTCCTTCTAATACTAAATATTAGTGTCATTTTAGTTTATTCTATATTTTGGTCACACCATTCTTGTGCTGTTTCTTCCCTAGATTTTCTGGGTGCCTTTTTTTCCCTCATGTTGGAAGTATAAACATGTGCCCTCTTCAATATATGCCGAGTACATTGCAGTTTCTTAATATTTCTCTTGCCTGGAATGCATTCTGATTCTGTTTTAATTTGAACCAGTCATATCATATTCAGAGCATGGCTTTCTAATACAGCCTTCTGTTTTTCTTAGACTGTCCAGCTGCCTTTGTTTTTTGCATAATGTGGCACTTTTTTTCCTCCAGGTTTTTAACTACATTATTCTGTCTATAGACAAGAGTTTAGATTTTGAAAGGAAGATTTCTATAGCTATGCCTTGTTTTCTATGTTTATAACTTACTAGGGCTATTTGTCACTGTGCTTTTTTCCATAATGAAATACTCACAGAAAGAACATAAAGTTAGAGGAAAATAGATGTGATAAAGCAGACTGAGCAACATTATAAGGTATTAAAGCCACCTAGGAGAAAAATGAAAGAGTCACAGTTCTCTAAAAAATATTGTTGCTTTAAAATTAATAAATTGACATTGGGCCAATAACTTGAGTCACAAATAATAAAAGATATAGTTTTAAAATTATGGTACTCAGGAATATTATTCTGCCATTTAAAATGTTTATAGAGAATTTGTCATGGAGAAAAAAATAAAATTCAAAGAAAGTATAACAAAATATTAACACCTATGAAGTCACAAGGGGTTTTTATTTTCTTCTTTATACTTATCTATGGCCTCAAATTTCCAATAATGAGTACAAATTACCTTTATAATAATAAAAAGTCATAAGAAAAAAGAGAGTACTTTACCAAGCAATGCTCATTCTGGTTTGTCTTACCAGTAATAATTAAAATACAAAAAAAAAAAAAGATTGAGCCCTGAGTATCACATATATGAAGAAATGAAGACTTAGAAAAAAGTAATGATCTGCCAGGTGCAGTGGTTCACACCTATAATCACAGCACTTTCTGAGGCTGAGATGAAAGGATTGCTTGAATCCAGGAGTTCAAGACCAGCCTAAGACAACATAGTGAGACCTCGTCTTTGCAAAAAAAATTTTTTTTTAATTAGACGGGCATAGCAGTATGCACCTGTATTCTAGATACTTGGGAAGCTAAGGCAGAAGAATTGCCTGAGCCCAGAAGTTGGAGGCTGTGGTAAGCTATGATCATGCCACTGCACTCCAGCCTGGGTGACAGAGTGAGACCCCAACTCAAAAAAAAGTAATCTTCTAAGTGAAATGTTGCACTGCTATTATATGGCAGGTCACTCTATCACTAAATGAAATTGGGAGGTATAACCTAGCTTTCACTAGGTTTTGTCATAGTAGCAAATTGCCCCTGAATCTCATTGGCTTACAAAAATTGTCTATCCCTTGTTCACATTATAGTTTGGCTGCAATGGTTTTAGGTTGGCTCTGGCTCTGATTTACTAGTGTTTTCCACAGCAGCATCCATGTGAAAGGAGTAGGCCCTATTCTAAACATGTTGCTTTGGGACGGAGGAAAAGAATGCAACAGTTGAACCATGTGAAGTTTCTCAAAGCTGTCTAGACATGGCATACCCTGTTCCACAAAATGTCATCAAAGGTGAGCATGTATAATGGTCTTGGGAAGAAGGTAAGTAATGGAGAACACTTCTGGCAAGATGGCGATGGGGCAGCCTGGTCTATGAAACACTCTGCAAAGGAGAATGCAGAGGGTGATCTGAACTGTCCTTCACAGCAGGCCAGGGACAACTGACCCTAACTGTGAACTAATTTACCAGCTAGAAAAGACAGCTAGAAATCAGAGTCGAAAGGACACTGGACTTAAACAAAAAGTCTCAGAGTGTGCTCAATTGGTTCTGTCAGTTTAATGACTTAATTCTCTCCCTGGGGGCTGCAGATCCCAACGTCAGCAGCCTGCCCTTCACATGGAGCACGGCCGTCACCACTGCTGGGGCATCACAGCAATCTGGACAGCCACTGCAGCCACAGACACAGCAGCCGCTGTGCTACCTTGGCCTCGGTGGCGGCCATAGCGCATCACGCCACCCATGCCTTAGGCGATCCATGACTTCAGTCCTTGAAGCCCATGCAGGCAAAATCTGCTGGGATTGCTGCCACCTCTACTGCCACTATGACGTCCTGCCGGGCGTGGGTCTCCTCCCGTGTGCCCTGAAGCAGGCTCCCATCTCTGGCCTCTGCCCAACTCCTGTACAGCTCCACCCCCTCTGGTGGGAGAAGCTGAGATAGCACCACCTGCTGACAATTCAAGGTAACAACACTGAAACAGGAGAAACAAGCTTGAAAAACAGACACAGGCCAGATTTGAGTGGTGTACTGAGGGTGATCTGAACTGTCCTTCACAGCAGCACAGGGGCAACTGACCCTAACTGTGAACTAATTTATCAGCTAGAAAAGACAGCTAGAAATCAGAGCTGAAAGGACACTGGACTTAAACAAAAAGTCTCAGAGTGTGCTCAATTGGTTCTGTCAGTTTAATGACTTAATTCTATTCCTACTGTTTTGTTCCTTTTTCTTTCTTTTCTTTTTTTTTCTCTTCCACTTCTTCTCCTTTCTCCTCTCTGTAAGCCATATCTTTGTATAGAGAAACAACACACCAATAAGGTGGTTGGTTAGCTTGTATGCTAGCATCATTGTATGTTTTGGGGGTTTTTTTGGAGTTGGTTAGTCCATGGGAGTTGGTTAGTCCGTGGCCATGGTCTATTGTTTTTATCTGTTTCAGTTTAGGTCTCTCTCTCCATTTGTTGGTACACTCATCTGTTTCCCCCCTTACTTCTCTCTCTCTCCACTCCCCTTTTTCCCCCACTGTCTGTTCCATTCTCTTCCCTCTACTAACCATATGTTATTTCAGGGAGTAAACATACAGCACCACTGCACGGACAGATTCCAAGGCAGTGGGAAGTGGGTTTCAGAGTATCCACACACCAGTCAGCGAATACCAGGACCTGCAGATAGATTTTGAATCACAGCTCCCCCCTAGAGTAAATCTCAAAACTGCAAAAAGGACCACCCCCAACCTACAGTGCAACTCCAGAATTGAACAAAGTAAGAGGGCATACATAAAGAATAGGAGATTGAACAAACAGAAGTAAAAGCAATCCCTCTACCCCTGAATAACAGAATTAAAGAAGATGGTGATGTGGAGGGAAAGAAAAAGTAGGGAGGGGGAAAAACGCACAAATGAAGAAAAACCAAAAGAAGAATATAGGTCTCACACAGACCCCTGGGAGGTCAGACACTGAGAAAACAGATTCTGGAACACAAACAATGAAGAGCCCCTAGAATGACTGGTCACATGCAACAAACCCAGACATCAAGACATTAATAGAGAGAATTTAAAAAATTGAGAAAAGACAAGAGGAAAATAGGAAGGAGCTGGTGTCAGAAATAACAGCACTAAAGAATACTGTGATGGAAATAAATAACAAACTAATAACCATGGAAAGCAGAATTAACCAAGCAGAAGAAAGAATCTCAGAGCTCGAAGACCAAAACACAGAACTAACCCAAACTGTCAAAAGCATAGAGAAGAAGCTCAAAAAGAGAACAAAACCATCAAGAGATGAATGATCACTTCAAGAGACCAAACCTAAAAGTAATTGACCTTCCTGAGGCAGAGAGAGAAACAGAGGCCACAAATGGAAACAAACATTTCATGAAATCATTCAAGAAAACTTCCCTCAGCTCATCAAGGATGAAAAAATTCAAACACAAGAGATTGAGAGAACTCCTGCAAGACAACAAATGAGAAGATCAACTCCCAGACATATAATAATTTGCCTAAACAAATTAGGTATAAAAGAAAAAATCCTAAAGGCTGCAAGAGAAAAAGGTCAGACTACCTACCAGGGAAGACAAATTAGAATAGCAGCAGATTTATCTACAGAAACCCTTTAGGCTAGGAGAGCTTCGAGCCCTATCATCAAAGTTCTAAAAGATAAACAATTTCAACCAAGAATAACCTACCCAACCAAGCTAAGCTTCATCAGTGAGGGAGAATTGAAATCTTTCCCAAATATCCAATCCCTAAGAACCTACGCTGCCACAAGACCACCTCTACAAGAAACACTTAAGAAATTATTGAACACAGAAGAAAATGAAAAAAGAACAACAACGTTCTTCACAAGAATACAGGCAAAAGATTAAAAACACACATGATCCAACTCTAAAACCAAAATAAAGACAACACACAAACAGGAAGAACAACAACTCTGTAAGAATATTATGATAGGGATCAACTCTCACATTTCAATAATTAGTTTGAATGTGAATGGACTAAATGCACCATTGAAAAGACATAGAATGGCAAAATGGATAAAATATCACCAGGCAACAATCTATTGCCTTCAAGAGACTCATCTCACTAGAAAGCACACTCACAGACTCAAAGTAAGAGGATGGGAAATAAATTTTCAGGTGAATGGAACACAAAATAAAGGAGGAGTTGTGATCTTAATCTCAGACAAAATATACTTTAAGTTATCAAAAATTGAAAAAGATACAGAAGGCCACTACATAATGATAAAAGGTTCAATCCATCAACAAGAAATATCCAACCTAAACATATATGCACCAAACATCGGAGCACCAACTTTCATAGGCAGCTCCTAGGTAAACTCAAAAAAGATATTGACTCCAATACCATCATAGCTGGGGACTTTAATACCCCACTCACAACCCTAGACAGATCATCAGGACAAAAAATCAGCAAGATCCGAAACCTCAATGTGACTCTTGATCAAATGGACTTAATTGATACCTACAGAACCCTCCATTGAAAGACCACAGAAAACACATTCTACGCATCACCGCATGGAATGTACTCTAAGATCGACCACAAACTAGGCCATAAATCAAGCATAAGCAAATTTAAAAGGACTGAAATTTTACCATGCACCTTCTCGGACCACAGTGGAATAAAAATAATCATTAACATCAACAAGGTCCCCCCAAACCCCACAAAGACATGGACACTAAACAGCATGAGCTAAACAACTCCTGGGTCAATGATGAAATCAAAACAGAGATTAAAAGATACCTGGAAACAAATGAAAATGAAGAAACATCTTACCAAAATCTCTGGGACACCATGAAAGCTGTAGTAAGAGGGGAATTTATATCCCTACAAACACACATGCACAAAATGGAAGGATCACAAATTAACCACCTAACAAGCCATCTAAAAAAGCTGGAAAAGCAAGACTACAATAACCCTAATTTCAGCAGAAGAATCCAGATCACCAAAATAAAAGCCCAAATCCAGGACTTAGAAGACAAAAAGATAATACAAAAAAATCAATTTAAAAAAAGCTGGTTCTTCAAAAGGATAAACAAGAGCGATGGTCCCCTAGCTAGACTGACCAAGAAAAAGA